CAATGAGGCTTAGGCTGCAGGAATTTTTGGAGAGAGGGGGGTTAGTTGGGGTTATATTATACATTACATGTTTTAAAATTGGGTTTGTAAACCCAAAGAAAAGGTGGTGTATAAATATTTAAATCAATAAATAGATAATATCTGTGATTACAGTAATTCCCAATTACTCTCCTGTGACCAAAGTCTTCCAGAAAAGCACTTCATTATACAACAAACAAGAGAGTTTTTCATCCCAGGGCCAGATGACATTACGGATTTTTCACACAATCTCACCTAATCCCCATCCCCTGTGATTTTTGTCCATACATGTCCCTTGATCCTCAACATGGCATTTTGTTGATTAAAGGGGACATGCACACCCACTACACTCTTTTTCACTAATAGTAAAGTTGCTGATCCTGCTATTTACACACAAAAGAATACAAATTAAGTTGAAAGAACTCTTTTGCTTTTTATTAACACAGAATGAGGCACAATTAGTCTAGCAACTATGTTACCAGATTCAGGTGGGGTAGCCGTGTTGGTCTGAAGCAGCAGAACAAAGTTTGAGTCCAGTGGCACCTTTAAGACCAACAAAGCATGCACATGGAAGCTTATACCTCAAATAAAACTGTGTTGGTCTTAAAGGTGCCACTGGACTCAAACGATGTTGCTGTTATATGTAATTATGGTGAGGTTGGATTTTACAGCCAGCTAGTAAAAAATAGTAGTTGGCAACCATGCCAAAAATTGTATGATAGACAGGGCAGTAGATAAATATTGTATTTGTATACTGTACTGTACACCTGGTTTCCTTCATTTATAACCTCATAACTATGTAGCCCTTATTTGGCTGATGTTCTTGGCAATTCAAATTAATTATATTACTATTGACCCATATCCTGAAGCTGGAGGGAAGCTCCTTAAATGGGGGGAAGTCTTCAAACTTTGCTGAGTGGAATGATGGGATACAAACCATTCTAAATATCCTCCCGGCCACTCAGGTACATGAGATTCACTGATATGTTTTGCATTCAGCTGGAGATGTTTTCATGATGTATTTATCACCATCCTGAGTGGAGTAATTTCATATTTACTATTTGTGATTTTAATTATATATCAACTGTATTTTAACTGTTTATAGTGTAAATTGCCCACAGCCTGTCCTGCAAGGTGGGCAATTCATAAATTTAATAAAGTAATAAATAAATGAATGAAAACCTGACTCAGCATACTTATGGCCCTAATTAGACTGGGATCACTGACTGTTCGAGCTCTGTAATTGTAATGTCTGCCTGTTTGTTAGCTTTTTAATAAATGACAATTTAATTTCTAATGCAAATAATAATACATTAATTTCAGGCACTACTGGAGAGTATATCCTAGTCTCTCTGAGGTTAATTATGAATTAATTTCTACCTTTTGGCCTTCTCTACCATCTGGCATCCAAGCAGCTTATGAAAACATGAATGATCAAGTTCTCTTTTTCAAAGGTCAGCCATCTTGAAATTATCCTTGCTTGTAGGGTTGCCAGGTACCCCCTGGCTGCCAGCAGGGGATGGGTGTAGGGTTTCCAGTTCCAAGTTAGGAAATTCCTGGAGATTGGGGCGTGGAGCCTGGGGAAGACAGAGACCTCAGTGGGGTACAATGTCATAAAGTCCACCCACCAAAGCATCCATTGTCTCTAGGGGAACTGATCTCTGTATTCTGGATATAAGCTGTAATTTCCCCGGGTCCCACCTGGAGACTGGCATCCCTACTTGCTTGTATTATTTGAAATAAAAAGAGTTTTAAAGATCACTTGTATTCCAGCAGTGGCTTTCAACTGTGTTTAGGGAGACGGAGTTCCTCAGAAACTTTTTGAAGTCCTTCAGTGAGAAGATCAGTAACGATGGAGACGTGTTCCTGAAAGACTGCTTCCTCACCATTAGAGATGTTCTCCTACAATCTTGGGTGATAGAGGTGGTGCTGAGTTCCAGCAGGATGGGGAGTGTACGGCCCCTAGAACTTGTCCCCGATTCCTCTGCAATGTATTATGGCTTTCCAGCAGATACCTGGAAGTTCCTCAGCAGGTTAATTAGTGTGGAAAGCATTCCTTGATGGTAGATATTTAAAGGCTCTGCTCTGGTCAATACAAATCTTATCCTTATTTATTCGTTTATTTTTGTATCTCACTTCTCCCCCTGATCAGGGACCCAAAGAGGCTTCTCACATTGTTCTCCCCTCCTCCGCTTAATCTTCACAGCAACAACAACATTGTGAGGAGAGGTCAGGCTGTGAGATCGTGATGGGCCCCACCAGCCAGGCTTCCGTGGCTGAGCAAGGGATTCAGATCTGGCCGTCACAGATCCTAGTCCAGCATTCTAACCACTGCCCTCTGGATTAGTTTAATCTCTAGGGCAATAAAGCAGTCTATCGATGCACTGCCTTTTAGGTAAACTGAAACCTGCTTGCACAAAACATTTTCTCCCCTTTGAACAGATAATCGCTTCTGGGTCCTACGTGGCTTACAGATGGAGCCTGGTTACCCCAAAACCATTGACCATTTGGATTTCCCGCAAAACATTAACAAAATTGATGCCGCTGCTTTTGATAAGAATACTGGGAAAACCTATTTCTTCGTTAGTAACCAGTACTGGAGGTAAGGTCTCTGGGGGAAATGCCACTTTGCAAGAGCACAAATGCAGTCTGCAAAACGTGCTGATAATGGAACAGGAATGGGACCATCGTGGTGAATCGCTTGCACGGGTTACCATATGTGCATGGTGATGGGGAGGGGGGACAGGAATCCACTGAACCTTGCTCAGGGATTGTGCTGTGATTGTGTTCTGAGAAGTTTTGAGAACCATGTTAGTATGTATCCCACCACTTGGCTCAGCCAAGTTTTAAGTTTTCTTCCAATCAAAGGAGCCTTCCTCCAGACTCATTGGCTCTTCTGCTGGAGGAAGAAATATCTAGGCCCCGGTCACACAAGAGATTTTGGGCCGGGAGAGGGACGGATCGGGGGTGCAGCAAACGGGCGCGATCCCACCACAACATCTGGGAAGCGTTGCGCACCTGTCCCCGATCCGGCCCTTCCGCCCAAAACACGCAGCAAAAATAAACCACCTACTGAGGTGGTTCTTCTGGCAAGGCCACATCAAGGCCGGCCGTGGGATCACCGGCGCGTCCTTTCACCGGCGCATCCCGGGCTTCTGGCTGAACTGCGCATGCTCAGACATGTGCAGTTCGGCAGCCTCCTGTCGCTGTCTCCCCGGTCTCCTTGGCATCTGATCATGCCAGGGAGCAATTGCATGATCCCGCCGCTGTGTGCCTATTTTGGTGCGGCTTTTAAAAGCCGCACTTTTGTTCGACTTTTTTTCCCGGTGTGGCAGGGACCCTAAGATGGAAAAAAAAATTACATTTGAGTCAAATAGCCCCTTAAAGATTTGCAAAATTCATTTCATTCATTTTCGCATAAGCTTTCATGAGTCAGGGATCACTTCTTCAGATGAATGAAATATTCAGTCATTGGGCCTAATTTTACATACAGTGGGATGGAGGGGCGCTACAAAGAGAGGCCAGTGTAAAACAAGATCCCCTTGGAAAACATCCAATTGAAAAAAGGATCCTATTGTAAAACAGGATCCCATTTACAAAGGGATCTATTTTCAATGGGATGTTTACATTCTGTAATCGAGAACTAACGTGTTTCCATTTCCAAAACAAACATCACTACCAGCTGCACTTAAAAGTCATTCTCATAGCTTTGATATCCCAATTGGCATGACGTAATGGAATGGCTTTTTTTTTAAGTAGGTTTTGGTTCTAGATGCATTAGTGCAAGGTCAACCATGTGTGATTGTGGAAGCATGAGTTTTGAAATCCTACATGTTAGCCCACAATGCAATACACTAATAGTAGTAAGCCGCCCTGAGCCTGCTTCGGCAGGGAGGGTGGGATATAAATTAAATAATAAATAAATAGTATACACACTATTGTTCTGATCTCTACATCGTTCCAAAAATTCCTGTGATGTCTGCAAGAACAAGGCAGAAAAGATGCTCTGTGCCGAAGCTAAAATCCCCCCAAATGTCATAAAATGTATCTTCCATTGGAAGTGTTTATGACTATGTGCTTATCTCACAACTTAAAAAGTCTCTACAGATTCAGTACCTGATAGGAATGAATTCATCTCCTCACTTGATGTCATCCAGGTATGATGAAAACAGTCGATCCATGGACAGGGGGTATCCAAGAAAGACAAGAGAAGATTTTCCTGGGATTGGCCCCAAGGTTGACGCTGCTTTTCAGCATAATGGTGAGGACAAATGTTCTATGTAAACTTACACTTGATAGGGACTTGAAGCACAGAATCACATGATCATTCCTACCTACTGCAGCCCACAATAGCTAAGTTATTGCCCGGTAGTGTAATCCATGTCTTCTGAAAAGACCCACTGTGTGATAGGGTTTAAGCAAGTTGAATCAAAACCGTTAACACTGGACTCCTTCACAGAGTAGGTACAAAAGTGATTATTAAAGGAAGGGCAAAAAAAATGGAATTGCAAACCCATCAGTGTTCTTCTTTGTTGGAATAATCTAGAGATCAGTTTTGGATTGTTACAAATCTGCTTATATAGTGGTAGGAAATGTGCACACCTCCAGTGTCTATTATTGCTCTGATCAGTCCAGCAATGTAAGCTCCAGAGTATAAACAGATGGTCAGACAGGGATATGGGAGCTGTGCACAAATTTTCCATCCTGTAGATATCCCCAGCATTCAGTTGTGTATGCACCCAGGAAATGAGAGATGATGGGCAGGGGAGGGGGACGGGATTTTTGCTGCAATCCTAAGAACAATTTCCTTTGAGCAAGTCCCACTATGTAACACGGGACTTGCATCTGAGTAGATCTGCTTAGGCTTGCCCCTGCGTTAAGTCCTGTGGTGTCCTATTTGTACCCACATACATTTATTTATACCCTGCATTTCTCCCAGTGGAGACTCAGAACTGTTTACAATAAAGAATACCAAAAAAAATACAAACAGGTAAACAGGAGGAGCACAAAGGCTTCAAAGAGCAGGGTAGGTCTTCTTCTCTCTTCTCTCTCCTCCTGTCCTTCTGCTGGTGGATCTTCGTGCCACTGCATGGTACAACCCTTAGGCTGCCAGCCAAAGACAAGCACCCTTTGACTCTTGCCATTTGGCTCACACCTCTGGGCACGGCCAGGCCTTAAATACCTGCCGCAGAGGAGAAACACACTCAGCTAGATGT